ATTATTTAATTTATTTCTTATTAAGTTCTTTAATTATAATAAAATAAAGTAAGCTAGCTATAAACATAATAGGGGCATTTAATAACGTATTACATACGCAGCTTCTTGATAACTTACAAAAAAAAGGGATCCCTAATTACATTATATAATAGGTCACGAGCTTTCTTTATAAGAGATCTATTAGTATTAAAGTAAATAAGAGCGAATCTAAAGTCTTTTATACAGAAACAAGTATCTTACAAGGTTCTCTAATCTTATTAATTCTCTTCCTATTTTTTATTACAGAATTACTAGATATAACTAATAATAAGAGGTTATAAATATTATTTATTAGCTTTATTAATAATGTTTATATTCTTATATATAGCGTCTTTACAAAAAGAAACTATATAACTCTTGAAAGTATTTATTACTAATGCAAGATCTAGGCTAACAAGTATAAGGCATAGTTTGCGCTAGAGAAGTACGAACTAATTCACTTTATAAAATAGCTAAAACTATTTAATATAATAACGCCACTTTATATCAACTAGATACGCAAGATTGTAACTAATAACATAAGAGTACTAGGAGTCTAAGTTAATATTAAACTTAAATAGGGTCTATAGCCAGTTAAGTATAAAGACTATAAAACTATCTAGGAAACAATCGTGCTTATATAGATTAGGAGATTCGTGCTCACGAGTGCTCACAACGGAACACCTTGTAGCATTGCTTATGCAGAGACGTCCTTGAGCGTTGCTCATGCGGAGACATCCTTGAGCGTCGTTCCCAAGTGCTCATGCTTGAGCACCTCTGAACACTACGTCAGAGGGTACCAACCTTGTAGGCAGTTCAGGGTCCTTTAGGCTTATTCAAGCCTGTTATAGTTTTTTCGCAGGGCGCCAGGCAATCCCTTAGTGCCTGTCTGTGCTTAGCGTGTTCATGTGCTGTAACAATACTAGTAACTGTGTGGCAGGAGGATATCTTGGGTCAGCGTGCTGTGCTATTGTATTGTGCTTGTTTTGCTGTGTGCTGCTGCTATTTTTTTTTCTTTTTTCTTATGGGACATAAGGGCATGTCGAGTCTTCTAGAGGGAGGGGTGATGTTACAGCTGCCATGCTTATCGCCCGCTAGCGCTAGGGCGCCGGGTATTGATTAGCACTAGACGTTAGTAAGGGGCATGCTTGCTATATAGAAGCGACCCCAGGGCCCCCACCGTCGAATCTTCAGTCTTAGGCTAGCACTCAACATCGGCTGAAGATCTCGCACACTCGTCGCCTGCTTCTAACGTGACACGTGACACTGTCCACCTTGAGTATTAACATTAGCGCCCCTCTCCAGCAGCATCTACACTATCTTCTTATGATCTTCTTTTAATGCCGCATATAATGCATTACTATAATATCCACCTTAACCATTAACCTCAACGCCCCGGTCCAGCAATATCTATACTATCTTGTTGTGACCTCCCTTTAATGCCACCTGTAGTACATTACTATATTCTCCACCTTGAGCATTAACCTCGGCGCCCTGGTCCAGCAATATCTGTACTATCTTGTTGTAACCTCCCTCTGATGCCGCCTGTAGTGCGTTGCTATACTTTCCACCTTGAGCATTAACCTTAGCGCCCTGGTCTAGTAGCATTTGTACCACCTTCTCATGACCTCTCTTTGATGCTGCGTATAGTGCATTGCTATACTCTCCACCTTGAGCATTGACCTCGGCACCCTGGTCCAGCAGTATCTGCACTACCCTCTCGTGACCTTTATTTAATGCCGCCTGCAGTGCGTTGCCATAAAATCCACCTTGAGTATTGATCTTAGCGCCCCAGTCTAGCAGCATCTGGATTACCTTCTGGTGACTTCTCTTTGATGCCGCCTGTAGTGCGTTGCCACAAAATCCACCTTGAGCATTGACCTCAGCGCCCTAGTCCAGCAGCATCTGTACCACCTTCTCATGACCTCTAGATGATGCCTCATATAGTGCGTTATAGATATATCCTCCACCTTAAGCATTGACCTTGGCGCCCTGGTCTAGCAGCATCTCCACCACCTTCTTGTGACCTTCTTTTGATGCCGCCTGTAATGCGTTGCCATAAAATTCACTTTGAGCATTGACCTTAGCGCCTCGGTCTAGTAACATCTGTACTACCTTCTCGTGACCTCCTTCTGATGCCGCCTATAGTGCGTTGCCACAAAATCCACCTTAAGCATTGACCTTAGCGCCTCGGTCCAGCAGCATCTGTACCACCTTCTTATAACCTCCAGATGATGCTGTGTATAATGCGTTGCCATAAAGTCCACCTTGAGCATTAACCTTAGCGCCCCAGTCTAGTAGTATCTGCACCACCTTCTTATGACCTTCTTTTGATGCAGCCTGCAGTGCATTGCTATACTGTCCACCTTGAGCATTGACCTCGGCACCCCGGTCCAGCAATATCTGCACCACCCTCTTGTGACCTTCATTTGATGCCTCCTGTAGTGCGTTGCCATACTTCCCACTTTGATCATTAATCTCAGCGCCCTAGTCTAGCAGCATCTGTACCACTTTCCTGTGACCTCTGAGTGATGCTCACATCAATGCTGTTTTGCCGCCTCAGTCAGTCATATTAATATCAATATTTTTATCAACTAAAATCGTTCCCATTACTTTGTCATGCCTATTGAACGCCGCTAGTTAGAGCTTGTTTATGTCTAATTGATCTTGGTAAGGTTCTGTAATAAACCAAAATAATCAAAACTATAATAGAAACTAGTCACTAGTTGTGTTATATAAATAATATACTTTAGTTATAAGAAAATTATTCTCTCTAATTTCTGACCTTTATAGATAGTCTAACTAATATTTAGCTAAGTATAATAAGAAATCTTTTATAACATTTTTATTATTCTTATTTAGTATCTTAGTATAAAGACTCTATTAATTACTTATAATAAGTTTATATAAGATTTTCATTTTTAGGTCTTTTAATAAAAGGAATTAGACATATATCTAGCTTATATATAGTTTAATATTAGTAATAGTAAAATAATACTTTTACTTAGTTCTAATTATATTGTTCTTATAAATTAAAAACTCCTTTATTATCTAATAAATAAGATAAATCTTAAAATAATTAATAAATATAAATAATTTATATTAATAGTAAATATTCTGCTTAAGATAATCTTTATTAATTAAAAATTTAGCTACTAATTTAAGATGTAAAAATATAGCTATAATAAGGGCTAAAGCCATTTCACTAATAGTTAGTAAATAACGCGTATTAACTATAATTTATAAGATTATTTTTACTCTTTCTCGCATCCTTTAAATAACTT